ACTCCCCAAAAAAATCAAATTTAACTCCTGAAAGGCTATTAAATCTCCCCAAAAATAACATTAAATCCCCAAAAATCCCACTAAGCTTCCGAAAAATCACATTAAACCCCCAAAAACCACATTAAACCTCCAAAATTGGTCTCCCTCTCAAAGGGACAGGGGAGAATTTGGGGTCCCCCTGTTTTGGGGCTCTCACCTGCAGGGTGTAGGCCTGGAGCCGCTCCAGGAGCTCCTCACGGGTCCCTAGGGGGGAAAGGAGGGGGTCAGGGACCCCCAAATTCTGCCCCAGAACCCCCCCAAATTCCTCTGCCCCATCACAGACCCTGGAAACTTCTCAGCATCCCAAAAATTCCCCCCCAGGGACCCCCAGAACTCCCCCAAATCCCCTCAAGTGACCCCAAAACCCCGAAATTTCCTTCCAGCCCTAAGATCTCCCCTCACGTGACCCAAATCCCCTCAAATTTTCCCTCAATTGCCTCAGGTGACCCCAAAACCCCCAAATCTCCCCCCTTCCCCTCATATCTCCCCCAACTGATCCCCGTTCCCCTCAGACCTCCCCTCAAGTGACCCCAAAATCCCCGAATTTCCCTTCTTCCCCTCACACATGCTCGCTTTCCCCTCACGGATCCATCCCCGCTCTCCCCTCACGGATCCATCCCCGCTTTCCCCTCACGGATCCATCCCCGCTCTCCCCTCACGGATCCATTCCCGCTCTCCCCTCACGGATCCATCCCCGCTCCCCTCACGGATCCATCCCCGCTCTCCCCTCACGGATCCATCCCCGCTTTCCCCTCACGGATCCATCCCCGCTCTCCCCTCACGGATCTCCCCTCGCTCTCCCCTCACGGATCCATCCCCGCTTTCCCCTCACGGATCCATCCCCGCTCTCCCCTCACGGATCCATCCCGCTCCCCTCACAGATCCATTCCCGCTCTCCCCTCACGGATCCATCCCCACTCTCCCCTCACGGATCTCCCCTCGCTCTCCCCTCACGGATCCATCCCCGCTCTCCCTCACGGTTCCCCCCCGCTCCCCGCACCCTGCGCGGGGGCTCCGATGCCGGCGAGCGTGGCCTGGAGCTCGGGGTGGGCCCAGCCCGCGTAGGGCGAGCGCTCGGGGGCTCGGGGGTCCCTCAGGGGCTCCCCGGGCCCGGCCGCCGCCGCCGCCGCATCCGCGCGCTCCGCCGCCATCTTGGCGTCGCCGCCGCCGAGAGCGTCGTAGCCAATCAGAGAGCGCGGCGCCGCGTCGCACGTGATGATGTCACGGCGTGAAGGGGAGGGGCTTGCGCGGGTAATAGTGGTAATGGTGCGGGGATGACGTCACGGTGGTGAGGGTGACGCCACGGACACGGACGGGTTAGTGACGTGAGCTCTGTTGGAATGACGTCACAGGATTCAATATACCTGCTCATTAGCATGGCCACGCCCGCCCCGCTGCTCGCCACATCCCCGATCCTCGTTTGCATAGCCCCGCCCATAGCTTATACACTTATTCACGCTTATTTGCATGGCACCGCCCAAAATCAGCGCTCATTTACATCACACCAGGATTTCAGCTGATTTACATGAGCCCCATCGTGATCCAGCCCATCATTTGCATAACCGCGCTCATTATGCAGGCGAAATTCCCGCCCTCTTTCCTGGCTCCGCCCCCAAACGCGGCCATTCATTTCTCACGAGCGCGGTTTCATTTAGGCCACGCCCACCCTCATGTCTGTTAGCCCCGCCCCTTTTACGGGCGGTCTTGTTCTTGATCCCGCCTATTGGGGCGTGGCCTAACAGTTCCCCGCCTTCTTTCCGGATGTGACGTCACCCTCCGCCGCCGCTGTACCCGGAAGTGCCGCCGCAGGTAAGCGCGCGCCGCGCGGTGGGGGCGGGGCCGGGGGGTCCCGGGTTGGTTCCGGGGGGGTCCCGGAGCCCCCCCCGCCCCTCCCCCATCCCGGGGAGCCCCGGGGATCCCTGAGCCCCCCCCGTGTCCCCCCAGCCCCGCCCCCATCCCGGGGGTCCCTGAGCCCCCCCCCCGTGTCCCCCCAGCCCCGCCCCCATCCCGGGGGTCCCTGAGCCCCCCCCCCCCGTGTCCCCCCAGCCCCGCCCCCATCCCGGGGGTCCCTGAGCCCCCCCCCGTGTCCCCCCAGCCCCGCCCCCATCCCGGGGGTCCCTGAGCCCCCCCCGTGTCCCCCCAGCCCCGCCATGTCGCGCGCCACCAAGCGGAAGCACGTGGTGAGGGAGCTGCTGGAGGAGCGCGTGCAGCCCGCGGAGGGACAGAGCGTGGTCAGGGTGAGAACCGGGACAGGGGGAACAGTGGGGACATTGGGGGGATTCGGGGGACTGGGGACACCGGGGGGACATTGGGGACATTGTGGGGACTGGGGACAGCGGGGACATTGGGGACACTGGGGGGAATTGAGGACATTGGGGAAATTGGGGGGACATGGGGGGACCTTTGGGACACTGGGGGGATTGAAGACATCAGGGACACCCGGGTGACATTGGGGACATCGGGGAGACATCAGGGGCAATGGGGGGATATTGAGGACATTGGGGACAATGGGGGGACAGGGCAGGGGGATGTGGGGACATTGGGGGGACACGAGGGAAAAGACGCTGCTCTGGGGACAGAGGGGACACTGAGGGGACACCGAGGGGACCCTGAGGCCGGCCGTGTCCCCCAGGTGTTGGGGACACCGGGGAACAACCTGCACGAGGTGGAGACGGCGGAGGGGACGCGGTTCCTGGCCAGCATGCCACCGCGGTTCAGGAAGCACATCTGGATCAAGAGAGGTGACACTGCCACCCTGGCACCCTGTCATTGTCACTGTGCCATTGTCATTGTCACCCTGTCATTGTTCAGTGTCACTGTCACCCTGTCAGTGCCACCGCGGTTCAGGAAGCACATCTGGATCAAGAGAGGTGACACTGCCACCTCATTGTCACCCTGTCATTGTCACTGTGTCATTGTCATTGTCCCTGTGTCACCCTGCCACTGTCCTGTGTCATTGTTCTGTGTCATATCCCCTGTCATTGTCACCCTGTCACTGCCTTTGTCACCAGGGCATTGTCCCCTGCCCTCCCCCACTGTCCCCTTGCTGTCCCCTGCCCACCCTGGGCTGTCCCCTCAGTGTCCCCTCAGTGTCCCCTCAGTGTCCCCTCTGTCCCCAGGTGATTTCCTGCTGGTCGATCCCATCCTGGAGGGCTCCAAGGTCAAAGCTGAAATTTCCCTGGTGCTGCTCCCGCCCCACGTGCGCTCCCTGCAGCGCCAGGGGCTCTGGTATGACCCAAACACCCCAAAAATGACCCCAAAATACCCCAAAACCCTAAATACCCCGCCAAAACCCAAAAAACCCCACCCCAATACCCCAAACCTCACCCCCCAAAACACCTCAGAACAGCCCTAACCCCTCCAAACCCTGAAAATACCCCCAGAATACCCCCCCAGGACCTATAAAGTACCCCAAAACTACCCTAGAATACCCAAAAATACCCCAAAACTGCCCAGAATAGCCCAAAATACTCCCCAAAAATATGCCCCAAATACCCCCAAAAACCGCCCCAAATACCTTTAAAAAAACCCAAATCCCCCCCAAAATACCCAAAACTACCCAAAGAAAATCCCCCAAAAACCCCAATTTCCTCCTAAACTCCCAAAATCCCCTAAAATTTCCCCAAATCCTCCCAGAAATACCCCAAAACCACCCCAAAACAGCTCGGATCAGTCCAAAATACCCCAAACCATCTCAAATCCCCCCTCAAATACTCCAAAACTCCCTAAAATGCCCCAAAAACCCCACAACTGCACCACCCCCCCCACCAAACTCCAAATAAATATCCCAAAATGCCTCAATCCCCCCTAAAAAATCCCAAATTGCCCCAAATCCCCTCAGGCCTGAGGCCTTCGCGCCCCTGGAGAGGAAAAGCCCCCAGGAGGGGTGAGTTAATTAGGGGGAATTAATTAATTGGGGAGCGGTAATGGGGGTTAATTGGGATGTGTTTTAATTTAATTTTAATTTGACAATTAGGGGGCAATGAGGTGCTGTTTATTGGGGGGTGATGATGGGGATTAATTGGGAGGAAATAATGGGATCCTAATTAATTTGGGATAATGGAAGTGTTAATTTGGGGACAATAATTAACATTAGTTGGGGTTCGTTAATAAGGACAATATTGGGACGTTAATTGGGGAGTAATAATGGTGGATTAATTAGGGGGGGGTGATAATTGGGGGGGTTAATTGGGGGGGTGATAACTGGGGGGGTTAATTGGGGAGGTGATAATTGAGGGGGATAATTGGGAGGGTTAATTGGGGGTTATGAAAGGGGGACAGTAATGGGGAGGAGGGCTCAGAATGGGCTCAAGGGGACAGTTGGGGACACGGTGGCACTTTGGGGACACCGTGACCCCCCCCGTGTGACCCCCCCAGTGACGAGCAGGGGCTCTTTGTCAACACCAACCGGGGGGGGACCCCTGGGGACACCGGGGACAGCTCTGGGGACAGCGAGGACGACACGGGGGGACAGCGACGGGGACAGCGAGGACAATGAGGAGGACACGGGGGGACAGCGCTGGGGACAACGAGGAGGACAATGAGGACAATGAGGAGGACAACGAGGACAATGAGGAGGACACCAGGGACACCGAGGACAGCGATGGGGACACTGAGGACACCCAAGGGGACACTGGGGGACACCAGGGCCAGCTCAGAGCGCGGCAGCCGGGGACACTCGGGGGACACAGAGGACACGAGTGACACCGGGGACACCGCAGGGACTGGGGCCCCGCGGCCAAAGGACGTTGGGGACAAGGACAGGGGGGACAGGGGGCAGGGCGGGGACGCTCCCCAATAAAGGATGCTGGTGGCACTGGGGTGGCTCTGGGGTGGCTCTGTGTGTCCCCTCCCCGCCAGTGACACGCGGTGACACAAAGTGACTCCCGGAGGCCTTTATTGTCCCCAGGGCCGGGGAGGGGCACAGGGATGTCCCCAAGGGTGTCCCCAGGGTTCCAGGGGTGTCCTGAAGAGTCCCAAAAGTGTCCCCAGGGTGTCCAGCGATGTCCCCAAGGTGTCCCCAGGTGTCCCCTCACTTGGTGATGGTGTTCCTGGAAGGAAAAGGGGGGGGGGGGTGTCAGCGGCCCAGTCCCTCCCAGTGCTCCCAGTCCCCTTTGAGCCCATCCCAGTCCATCCCAGTCCCCTTTGAGTCACTCCCAGTCCATCCCAGCCCCCTCTGAATCCATCCCAGTCCCCCCCACCAGTCCCTTCCCAATTCCTCCCAGTCCATCCCAGTTCCCCCCAGTGCTCCAGTCCCCTTCGAGTCCATCCCAGTCCATCCCAGTCTCTCCCAATCCATCCCAATCCCCTCCCAGTCTATCCCAGTCCCCTTCGAGTCCATCCCAGTCCCTCCCAGACCTCTCTCAATCCATCCCAGTCCCTCCTAATTCCCCTCCCAGTTCCTCCCATTCCCTCCCAGTTCCTTCCCACTCCATCCCAGTTCCTTCCCACTCCATCCCAGTCTCTCCCAGTCCCCCCACCAGTCCCTTCCCAATTCCTCCCAGTCCATCCCAGTGCCCTCCCAGTCCATCCCAATCCCCTCCCAGTCCCCCCAGTCCCCTCCCAATCCCTCCTAATCCCCTCCCAGTCCCTCCCACTCCATCCCAGTCCCCCCCAATCCCCTCCCAATCCCCCCCCAGTCCCTCCCAGTGCTCCCAGTTTGGCGCTCACGCGTTCATGCTCTTGCCGGAGCCGCTCAGGACGATGTACGGCGTCTTCTGCGCCCGCTGCTTCTCCTGCAGCAGCGCCACCGTGCCCAGGGGGGGTGTCACTGGAGCTCATCTTCTTCAGCAGCTGCGCCCCAAAAAACGGGGGGGGACCCCCAAATCAGGGGAACCCCAAAAAACAGCCCCAAAAAAACCCCGGAGAATTCCCCAAATCCCAAAGGGAACCCCCCTGAGTTTTGGGGGGCTGGGGGACACTGGGGGGACATTGGGGCTCCCCTTCTTTGGGGGCTGCACCCCATAATCAAAGGGGCACCCCAAAATCAGGGGGAGCCCAAAAACTTTGGGAATTCCCCAAAAAAATTCCAGGAAAAAAACCCAAAATCACAAGGGAAACCCCCCAGTCCCATTGCAGGGTATTGGAGACCCCAAAACCCCGGGGAGACCCCAAAACCTCGGGGAGACCCTAAAATTGGGGCTGGAGGTGCCCAAATTTGGCTTGGGATTCTCCAGTGGAGCTGGGGGGACCCCAAGAGGCTCCAGGGGACCCCAAAAGGCTCCAGAGGACGCCAAAATCAGCCTGGAGGATCCCAAAATTTGGGCCAACAACCTCAAAAAAACATCCCAGGAACCCCAAAATTGGGGTCAAAAACTTCAGCAGCACCACGAGGCCCCAATGGGAGCACAGAGGGGGTCTCAAAAATCCCCCAAAAAATCCCCCAAAAATCCCCAAAATCCCCAAACCCCCCCCCAATGCCCCTCACCGCCTCCTCATCCAGCTTCTTCATCCTCCTCTCCGTCTTCATCTTCCCCGAGCCCTTCCCGTGGAAGCGATGGAGAGCTGCCGGAAGGCCTGGGGGACAGCATGGGGACATTGGGGACATTGGGGACATCGGGGACATCAGGGGGGACATTGGGGACATCAGGGGGCTTAGGGACATCGGGGACACTGGGGGGACATTGAGGATATTGGGGGGACATTGGGGTTTGGGGGGATTGGGGACATTGGGGACATCAGGGGGACATTGGAGGATTGGGGGGACATTGGAGACAGCAGGAGGGACATTGGGGACAGCAGGAGGGACATTGGGGACACCACAGGGCCTGGGATGTTTTGGGGTCAGGGGACACTGTGGAGGTCCTGGGGACACTGGGGTGGGTTTGGGGACATTGTGGAAGGTTGGGGACACCGTGGGGGTGTTGGGGACACCGTGGGGGTGTTGGTGACACCATGGAGGGTTGGGGACACCATGGGGTGTTGGGGACACCGTGGGGGGTGTTTTGGGGACACCATGGGGGTGTTGGGGACACCGTGGGGGTGTTGGTGACACTCTGGGGGTGTTTTGGGGACACCGTGGGGGTGTTTTGGGGACACCATGGGGGTGTTGGTGACACCATGGAGGGTTGGTGACACCGTGGGGGGTGTTGGGGACACCGTGGGGTGTTTTGGGGACACCGTGGGGTGTTGGGGACACCGTGGGGTGTTTTGGGGACACCATGGAGGGTTGGTGACACCGTGGGGGTATTGGGGACACCATGGGGTGTTTTGGGGACACCGTGGGGTGTTTTGGGGACACGCCACCTCTTTGGGGGTGAGCTTGCGGCCGGTCTCGTCCACGTACTCGATCTTGACGTCCGGTCTGTACCCGTCCTTCTCCTTGAAATCCTGCGTGAAACCCGGAACTCCTCCCGCCGGCTGTACTTGTCATCGATGGCCCTGGGGACACATTGGGGACATTGGGGACATCATGGGGACACCATTGGGGACACCATTGGGAACTGCTCCCGCCGGCTGTACTTGTCATCGATGGCCCTGGGGACACATTGGGACATGGGGACACCATTGGGGACACCATTGGGAACTGCTCCTGCCGGCTGTACTTGTCATCGATGGCCCTGGGGACATTGGGGACATCATTGGGGACATGGGGACAGCACTGGGGACATGGGGACACCACTGGGGACACCATTGGGGACACCATTGGGAACTGCTCCTGCCGGCTGTACTTGTCATCGATGGCCCTGGGGACATCGGGGGACATTGGGGACACCATTGGGGACACCATTGGGAACATTGGGGACAGCACTGGGGACATGGGGACACCATTGGGGACACCATTGGGAACTGCTCCCGCTGGCTCTATTTGTCACCAATGGCCCTGGGACACACTGGGGACATTGGGAGGCTCTGAGTGACAGAAGAGGCAACACAAGGGATGACACAGGTGACCCTGAGGTGACCCTGAGGTGACACTGGGGACACCCAGGGGACATTTGTGACACTCACATCTTGTCCTCGATGCAGTACACGGCCGAGGGCAGGGATTTGTTCGGGGCTTTCACTCGCGCCACCTTCTGCACCGTGGTCTCCAAGAGCCCTGGGACAGGGGGGACACGTGGGACACCCCAAGGGACCCCAAAACACCACAGGGACCCCACAGGGACCCACAGAACCCCACAGGGACCCACTAAACCCCCACAGGGACCCCAAACCCCCTATGCAGACCCTAAACCCCTTAAAAAGGATCCCCAATCCCCCTTTTAAGGACTCCAAACCCCCCAAAAGAGTCCCAAAAGCACCAGTCCCCCCAAAACCCCCCTAAGGACCCCAAACCCCACTGAGGGACCCCAAAACCCCCCAGATTTCCCTCAAATCTCAGTGTAAGAACCCCAAACTCCCCTCACAGACCCCAAACCCCACTGAGGGACCCCAAAACCCCCCAGATTTCCCCCAAATCCCGACCTTTGTTCTGGCAGAGCAGCAGCGCCGCCGCCAGGCCCCCGGTTCACGATGGGCTCCTCGTCCAGGATCGTGGTGGACGAGGCTGAGAACTGAACAAAGGGGGGGGTCAGGGGGCACCCCAAAACCGGGGAACCCCCCAAAAACCCCACGGGGTCCCCAAAGGGGGAGTTTGGGGTGAGTTCGTTTTTGGGGGGGAGCCTCGTTTGTGGGGTCTCCCCATTTTAGGGTCTCATTTTTTGGGGTTTTTTGAGGGTGCTCATCTGTGGCCCTCCCATTTCAGGGCTTTCCCCCCCCCCAGTTTTGGGGTTTCCCCCAAATTTTGGGGTTTTCCTCCAAATTTTGGGGTCCCTCATTTACGAGATTCCCCATTTTGGGATCCCATTTTTAGCTTCCCCTCTCTATTTTAAGAGTTGTCCCTTTCCACCCCAAATCTTAAACTCCCTCCCATTTTCAGGGTCCCTCCATCCCATTTTTGGGTTGTGTTTTCCATTTTTTAGGGTCCCCCATGGCCCCCAATCCCATTTTCGGGGTCTTTCTCTCAATTTTTTGGGATCCCCCATCCATTTTTGGGTTGTTCCTCCCCATTTCCGGTGTCCCCCATCCATTTTTTGGGTGTTTCCCCCCCATTTTTGGGGTGTGGTTTCTCCCCATTTCTGGGGTCCCCCGTCCCGTTTCTGGGTTCCCCCATCCCATTTCCGGGGTGTTCCTCCCCCATTTCCGGGGTCCCCCCATACCATTTCCGGGGTGTTCCCCCCCCATTTCCGGGCTGTCCCCCGGTTAACCCCCTCACGTCCTGGTGCTGCCGTTCCTCTGCCAGGTTCACGCTGCTCCACCCCACGTTCTCCTCCCCCTCCGAGTCCGGCGGCTCCGGGGGCGACGCCGGGCGCCCGGCCCGCTCCAGGGCCTGGGGACACCAGGGGGACACCATGGGGACATTGGGGACACCATGGGGACATTGGGGGAGTGGGGACACCATGGGGACATTGGGGACACCATGGGGACATTGGGGACACCAGGGGGACAGGGGGGACAGCAGGGGAGACGGAGAGGACAAATATGGGGGGAACAAATCCATCCCAAAACCCCCCCAAAAACCTCTTTAACCCCCCCAAAAACCGCTCACAATTCCTCCCAAACTGGCCCCAAATTCCTTCAAATCCCCTCTAACCCCCCCAAACTCCCCAAGTCCCCCGCAAAACTGCCCCAAACACCCCAAATTCCCTAAATCCCCCCCAAAACCCCCCAAATCCCCCAAAGCCCCTGACCATGAGCTCCTCCTCCTCCTCCTCGCGGTTCCCAGCCAGGCCGTAGGTGGGGATCTCCCCAAATCCCCTTTGACTCCCCAAAATCCCCTCTAGCTCCCCCAAATCCCCCCCAAATCCCCTCTAAGGCCCCCAAATCCCCTCTAATGCCCC